GAGAGAGAGAGAGAGAGAGAGAGAGAGAGAGAGAGAGAGAGAGAGAGAGAGAGAGAGAGAGAGAGATTTGTGGGTAAGCGTTCTATGGTTGGTTCAGTGCATCCTCACACGGGAGTGGAATGCGACCGAATGTCTCTGTAATTGTGGGCAAGATACATTGTGTGAATCTGCTTTAGATTCGCTGGTGTTCTTTCGCTTAGAGATGGTCACTAACCTCCTCCTCCTCTCATCAGCTCCTCTCCCATTTGACCACCTTGTTGTCCCGAATGTAAATCATGGTCGTATGATCAAAGTTCTTGCCTCGAAGTTGCCGCCAATGCCGCTATGTTGAGCATGTCTTCTATTCGAGGCGAAAAGATGGCAACAGCTGCTCCATAGTGTGAGTGAACGTGTATGGTATGTTCTTTATCTTTTTTTTTTCTTTTGGAAACCAGCCGCGCTCTATTTATGTTGGAGCAAGAAAAAAAAAAAGGAAAAAAAAAAGTTGGAGCGTGACATGCCAGGAAGCGGGCCAAGCCCCCCATTTCATAAGATGTGATGATTGCGAGGACGATGCAGCATTGATTGCTTTTTTTTGTAAAACTTGCCAGAGGATTGAGTGGTTGCATTGACAGAAATAACCTGGATCTGAATCAGATGTCTAAAGCACTAATTTTATTTGGAACCTTCACAGGCTATAGCTACATATTAGTGAGCCTGAAAACTCCTGGACCCTGAAGTTCCTTCACAATGATGCTGAATAAACAGATGTGAGGAACAAAGGATTATTTCCCTATCCTTGCTTCATGCCACTGCAGACGTTCAGCAGAGATAGAACCTGTCCCTTTACTCTTCCCCAAACCAACCCGGTTCAGTCAGACAATAACCTTCCATCCTCCTGTTGCGGTGGATCCTATGGACTTGGATGGGGATTTGATCGTGCGGGTGCAACTGAACTAATCAGACAATTACCTTCCGGGTGGAATGGATCAGCAAATGCTGATGCTGCTCCATTGGGAAGGAGGGACCTTGGTCTGATTCGAGAAGGACAAACCCAGCTTTTGCACTCTGGCCATATCTCCTTCAAATATTTGCTATCATGCTATGTTTTGGATTGCTCAGCCAGTTATCCTTCACTTAAAAAAACATTCTGGATTCCTTGTCCTACTTGGGTTGGCTAGAAATTTAATATCCTCCCCCAGTTGGCGCCAGTTTGTTACAGAATTGTCACTAGTATCGTCTGTCAGACGTCCTAGGAGTATTGTTCTCCATTCCCATCTCCGTGGGGGTTCTCCCATTTGCCATCAACATGTCCTATCCCACCATCTCCATATAAGCGCAGCCTTGGGACAGGATAAGAATAGATGTTAAATTGTTTCTCTTATTCTCCGGCTGAAAGAAGGTAGCCTGGCATTTTTTGCACCATGGTAGTAATATTTTATTCTGTTCTGGACTTGTGTGATCAATCTGCCAGTCTCTTGTAGGTAGGTAGGCGTCTATGTTCGATCTGCCACTGGAGAGAGGCGAAGTTGGATGGCCTTGTGTGATCAATCTGCCAGTCTCTTGTAGGTAGGTAGGCGTCTATGTTCGATATGCCACTGGAGAGACATGGCTTGCGCGTAAACCACTGCTACATGCAAGAGTCTTTTGCTGAGGTGGATTCCCTTTGTGTTGCAAACTTTGCTGAAATGCCAGCGCACTGTTTTTTTTTTTCTTTTTTTTTTTGACTGGTGCCGCCAACCATTTTGGTCCAGTAGCACTGTTCATTCAAAGTCTTTGGAATGCCGCATTTGCGATTCTTGAGGTTGCATGGGAAAGGTGGTGGTGGTTTTAAGTGCATGGAAGAATCTGATCCCTCGCAGCATATTCATTCCGGTCTTGAGATATTCTGCCCCTTTTTCTTTCACTTCACTGATTACGTTCTTTTTTCGTAAATAGCATCTTCTGCGCCGACTTGACAGTTATCTTATGGAGTGGTTGGAAGGATGAGGTGCCCCCATGCGTGCCTGTTCAAGTCCAAATTCCACTCTTTCCAGTCAATGTGGAGATCTTCAATCTTTGCTTTTGATCAATAGGCTCTACCCATTCTCCTACTCTACCTGCTACTCTTCAATGGTAGGATCTCTCCTCTTCTATCCATTGAACGTTGCTTGAGGTATTCCCCACCAACTGCTCTCCATTAAGTATCTCAAAAGGTTCTAACAATAAGGTTTTAGATCTCACTTCCTGAATTAAACCCACCATTCCCCTCGATTCTTCTGATCTTACCCAGTCTCCATGTTAGACAGCTGAACCTCGTCTTAGCACTCTCAGCCAGGTAAGGGGGAGCGATGAAGTAATTTCATTGAAACATTCTTCTATCTTGTGGCAGTGCCTTAGAGTTATTCCCATTTCCTCCTCCGCTTTCCATTCCTTCGGGTCCTTAGTTCTTGTTACTCCCTTTCTTACCCATCCTTCCCAAGGGGCACTGCGAGATGGGGAAATTTTGCTGTTGGGGTTAGTGTAAGGCTTGTGCTCCACTGGCTTAGTTTGATAAAATTTTAAACTAAGCGGGTCTCCACTGCTGAATATGGGGAACTTCCCTTTGGGAATTCAGCCTAGAATGGCTGTTCTCATCCTTTCCC